GGGTGTCACCATGTCTTGTTGGTCTGTAAAAGATTTGCAGACTTGCTATCTGTCCCTAAATTCCATGAACTGTCCCAGATTCAGCATTCAGGAATTGGAGATCCATATCACATGAACTGTGCCAGAACCATTCCCACTTGATGTGATTTTGTTCTTTTTCAAGTATTCTAATGTTTTACGTTGGATGTCAGTGACTGGGTTTTGAAAAAGTCACACACACTCCTACTTTTACTCGTGTTTCCCCCCCCCCCCCCAGTGGACAACCCGTGTGAGCACTACCATGCCTGCTCCCAGCACTGTGAGTTCCACTCCTACAAGATCAACTGTAGCTGTGAGAAAGGCTTTGAGCGGAGGATCTTTGACAACAACGCCACCCTGTCCACCTGTGTTGCAACAGGTACAGCCTCACCTTACTTTAACTCTTTTAATTCATTAGTAAAGTTTTTGAAATTGTTCTAGACTGTCTGTTCTTCTGTTTTTCTACTTATATGATGATGATGATGATGATTATAAATTTTGAAATTCTACACAGTCTCTACCATTTTTTTGTCTTTTGTCTTTTTATCTTAAAGTTGTCTACGACGATGATGATGATGATGATGATGATGATGATGATGATGATGATGATGATGATGAAGAAGAAGCCTTGGAGGGGAAACACTTAATCAACGAATATTTTCTTTAAAATTTTTTATTCACATTTCATGCTAAAATTTAATCAAGATTCTCCCTGCCTACTGTGCTTTTTCAATGATAATAATGATGATGATGATGGTAATGATGATGAGTTATTCTAAAGGAAGTTTTTGATATGAAATGCTGAGTTGTTTTAATTTAAAAGTTTAGTCATATTTTGTACATTAAACTGGAAATTTTCCAAGTATAATGTATAACTGACTGCAGTTTGTTTTTACCAGAGTTAGATAGAACTTTTTACAGGAAAGATAAAAAGATTTTGGTTTTCATCCAGATACTGCTCACAGCCACTGAGCCAGAACCCCATTGTACATTATTTTTACCGGCCCACAACTTGTATTTACTGACAAAATTCGAAAAATGGTATATGAAACTTTTTGTAACTTGTTACCTGTTTAACACGATAACATTTATTGTTATTCTTTTTAAGATATGACCTCTTCACCAAAATTATGACTTGATGATGACACACTTTCGGATAATGATCCTTTTTTTCTCATCTTGCTTTGCCTTGATGCAGGAGAAGAGCCCCATATGCTGATCGTAGAGAAAGGCAATGTCCTGCTGAAGAGCCAGCTCAGTTCCTCTTCTGCACCCAAGGCTTTCATCCCAAAGGTAAGAGCTGATTCACTTAATCGGCACCTGGCACCCATTGCAGGGCAGCCTTTTTTTGCATAAAATGGAGATCACTCAGCCAACGTGGGATGGACTTTAACAGATGGGTTTTTTTTTTTTTTCTTATTTGGACACCCTATTTTTCTGCAAAATAATGTACTAGCCGAAAATGATTCCAATACTTCTTTTCATATTGTTATTTGTAGTCCTAATTCCAAACAGCAATTGTTGTATGTTTTTTCAAACGGTCTTTTTTGGAAAAACATCAAAGAACTTGCTCAAAGCGGACTGAGCTTTGTGCCAGGATGTGCGGCTCAAAATTTTGTGCGGGTGGTTGGAGGGCACCACTGGTAGGTCCTACTTCTTATCTTTCCATCTGTTGTTTATGTATTTATGTCTTGCTTCTTTCCTGCACTATATGACTGTTATTGTGTTGATGGGATTCTATTTACTCAAATTCTGACTCAAAATTTTGTCATTTACGCAGAATGAGAGTAATGTGATCATCTCCATTGATGTGGATATCGCCAAGGACACCGCCTTCTTCATCAACCACACTGGAATGACCTTTAACCTCATGAAGCAGACGGATCTGACCTGGTCAAGTCAGCAGAACAAGAGGAGGAGGAGGAGGAGTATGGTCTCCTTTGCCAAACCTCCAGTGAGTGAATGAGACTCATGTCAACAGAGTGAAGGATAGACACTGACCTGCTCTGTTTTGTTTACCCTTGTTTTTTTTTAATGTAGGTGTTTTTACACCGTCATTGATTTAATTTAGAGCATTCTGAAGGCAGGCTCAGAGCTAGCTTGGGCTGAAAGGGATACATCTTCCCAGCAGAAAGGCAGATCTACTTGATAAAGATCCTTCCCCACTTCTTTCCCCCCCCCTCCCTTTTTTGTTGTTATTGTCTTTTTTTGCTTTTTTCTTTCATCAACTGACAAGGATTAAACTGAGGTACTCTTAGTCCTTTCTCTTACCATATATTAAAACCAAGCATCAAATTTCCATCTGTTTATACAAAATGCATGTCTGCCTTTGTGGCGCACAGGAAGCCCTCTGAGTGGTTGGCAGGTGCTCGGGTGTGGTTTGCTCCTTGTGTCTGATCCAACATCATGGTCTCCTACCTCTCGCTCTTTTCTTTGTAAGTTGCTCTCAAGTAACATTTCTAATCTTCAACACTTTTACAAGAGGGGTTCAAGAAGTCTTTGGTCTAAATATGAAGGAATAAAGATAGAGCTTTGTAACTTGGCACACATACTTTTATTTCTCTACATAGTCACCACGCAGAGTAACACATTTCTGTCTCCTCTCTTTGACCTTCAAAAGTCCTTGAGAGAAAAATGACCCAGAATAGGCCCCTAACCAGTCTTCAACAGCTTCAATGGCGTCCATGTTGTCATGGAAACGAGGTCCTTTGAGTGATTATTTTAGATTAGGAAACAGAAAAAAGTTAGAGGGGGCTAGGTCTGGTGAATAAGCTGGCTGTGACAGAATTTCAAAGCCGCACTGTTGTGCTGTCTGGACTGCTTGTTGTGCCCTGTGCCCAAGGGCGTTGTCATGCAGTAGGAGGACTCCATTACGGAGTTTTCCACGCCTTTTTCTCACCAATTCAGACCGCAATTTTATCAGCAAACCCGAGTAGTAGTCTCCTGTGACGGTTTTTCCATTTTCCAGGTAGTCAGTTACAATGACACCTTCACAATCCCAGAAGCACAACAGCATGACGTTTCCACTTGACTGTGTTACCTTAGCTTTCTTTGGTGAGGGAGAAGAAGGGGTTTTCCATTGCATGGACATTTTTTGTTCAGGATCAGTATTATCAATCCATGTTTCATCCATAGTCAACATGTTTTTAAAGAAATTTGTGTCACTGGACTCAATTCGAAGGAGAGTTTTGCAGGACTCGTCCCTCTGCTTCTTTTGCTAACTTGTCAAAAGGCGGGGTACCCACCACGTAGACTCCTTATTTATGTTAAGATGGTCGTGGAGAATTGTTTCAATTGACCCTACACTGATTCTCATTTGACCTGAGAGCTGTTTAAGAGTTATACGTCGGTCTTATAGAACCAGTTTCTTCACTATGGATACATTCTAATCTCTTCAATTACCATAAAGAATTGGCGCCCTTCACTATCTTTCTCCATCACCGACATGAATCCAGATTTGAATTTTTTTACCCATTATGTCAAAGCATAATAACGAGGACATTTGTCACCATAAACTTGAACCATTTCCTGAAAAATATTCGAAGTGGATTTTCCTTGCAAGTGTAAAAACTTGATAACTGAGTGATATTCAACAGGCTCCATGGCACAGCTTTGGCAAAGAAAAACAAATGTTTTTGTGCATGATTTTATTGAACACGCTGACTAGTGCCTTATGATTGTCTGATTTTTCTGAAAATTTGCATGGTGTGTTCCACAGAAAATGTCCAAAGGCTGGTGAAATTTCTCTACTCTACCATGATTACTTCATACCCAGAACAAAGACTTATTAAACCCCCCACTTATGACCTATTTGTGTTGAAAATTTTGTAAAACTCTTTCACACACACACAAAAAAAGCCAAAATCTTATGAAAACTTAAACTCATTATTTGTGGGTGGTTGGCAGGTGCTCTGGTGTGGTCTGCTTCTTCTTTCCTATGAAGCATCTATTTCCGCTTCTTCTTTTTTATGTTTGTTACTCTCTTGTAACACTTCTAATCTTCTGACGCTTATATGACCTTTTGCAGTTGTGAGCGCCGTAAAACTTCCACTAAAACTAAAAAAACCTCATTTTTCCAACTGTATCTACAAAATGTCTATCTGTGGTTTGGCGTACAGGAAGCCCTGAAGACACCTGGCTTTGAGGTGCGCAGCGTTGCTGTGGACTGGGTGGCCAACATGTTGTATCTGACAGACGCCACCAACAAAGGCATCTACGCCTGCAACTACAACTGTCAGCGTGGCAAGACGGTGGTGGAGGGCAACATTGATGAGCCTCACTCAGTGGTGGTGGATCCCATGGCGGGGTGAGTTCATCATTGTGCTGTGCATTAGGGGAGGGTTGGAGGAGAGATGGATGGACAGACGGAGGGACAGACGGAGGGATGGACATACAGATGATGGACAGACGGATGGAGGGACGGACGGTCGGAGGGAGGGATGGACGGACGGATGAAGGGAGGGAGGGATGTCAGACAGACAGACGGACAGACAGGGTGGTGGTATATGTTCATACATTCACGCATATATGTATATACACATACAGTGTAGCATGCTCACAATGAAACCAGGGGGATGCAGAAATCTTTTCTTTATCAATGAATTTTGCTGTGTATGTGTTTTAAATTCAAAGAATGTAAGTATACAAGATAAAATTTGGGACCTGAAAATCTATTCACTCTGTGCGTGTTTCGCTATGTGCATGCTAGACTGTATATGTTTACACATGCATGCACATTCACACTTTCACACAACTTGCCCATACTCAGACATAAACATGTCTATGCTCACACACCCAACACACACACACACACACACACACACACACACACACACACACACACCTACGCACACACATACACCCACACATACACACACGCACATGTACACAC